GCTGACACAGGTGTGAACTGCAATTAGGCAGAGCAGACTTTCCCAATTCTGTAAAAACGTAGGGACATTGTTTTCTCACTATGTTCTCATCTCTCCATCTCCTGTTGGAGCTGCAAGCAGAGCGAAGGCAAAAAAAAATGTAGCTTTAAGACTGTTAATTTTCGGCATAGATGGCTTCCTCTTTTCTTTTTTTTTTTTTTTTAATGTTTTTGCTAAGGTTTCAAACTCGACTAGGAACAGAGTACGTAAGTTTTCTTGTTCCTGACTGAGTACTAGATGTCACTGAGAATCAAGTACAGAGAAGAGTTATGCCTGGAGTATAATATGAAAAAATACCCTGGAATTCGAGCCTTAGACACAAGTTTGTCAAGTTCAGATCTGACTGCGCCTAAGTGACTGGCAAACGTTCTTTCCTACAAAAAAAAAAAAAAAACCCAACAAAAACAAACAACTAAAACATTATTACCTTCCCCACTTGAGGCTCTTCTGAAAAGGTTGCAGAAACAATTGGATGTTGTATCGGGTGTGTACTAAAATTATGTCTGATCGAAATATTCCTACCTTTAGGCCTCTTCCGAAAGCTATAATTTTGCAGCCTTTTACTTTTTGCTTGCATGAATTTAGAGCTTGACTGTTTTGTGAACTTTTGGCATTAGCTACCTACATTACTTATCTTTTACTTTAGAAAACCGCTATTGTTTTATAGATTGGTTACCTTGTTTATGCAAAAGTAATAGATACCTTTTAATGTAGATAAAATAAAGTCATTATTTTTTTCTTTAAAAATAATAAAAACACGTCAGTATTCGTGCAGATGAGGGGCGATACATTACCACATTGCTCGTTAAAAAAACTGCCTGACCATTAAGTCAGCTTTATTGTATAAAGAACTGGTGCCAGAAAAGTTTCTGAAAAACTGAAAACGTGTGGGTTTTCTTTGTGACCAGCGAAAGCGATTGAAGGAATTTGTTGCAGTGGGGAAAATCTGTTTAATTGTAGATCATGGAAAAGGGACTGCTAAAAGTTAAAAACTTTACGTCAAATTAAAGCAACAGCCGAACAGCCTGCGTCTTCGTTTTATTGCGGGAGAAGGAGGGCATGTGTATGTAGGCTTCCCGGCTTTTTCTTATCTTTCCATCCTTCATCGCAACAAAAATGTTCTTGCTTTGCTCACTGCCGTTCCAAAAAAAAAAAAAAAAAAAAAGCAGGAAGCGCATTTGGCAGGGTCAGTTCGGTGCAGCTATAAAGAAACTTTGACGCCTCTAAACCCGAAGGCTTTTGGTTCAAGCCTTGATGTATTGCCAAACAGTTTTATTTGCGAGTTATCGAGGCCTTCGATCTCATTTTGATTCTATTTCCTTTCGCAGACGGACAATCAAAAAGTAGCAATCTCAGGACTAACACTAATCTGTGTTCAGAACAAAGAGGTTTGGGCTCAGGGCTAAAGCCAATCTGACTTCGGACGGGGGGGGGGGG